AAATCCATTAGTACTTCCTTAACTAACAGACACATTCCTCAGATCTACAAATTTTCTCATTGTATACTAGGAGATGCAGGCCAGCTGCATTTTCAGAAATGGCTTTCAGATTTTTAAGAACCCTAACATGCAAACACAAGATGTATGTTTGCATCATGAGCTGATGATTTGGAAATAATACTAATTTGCTTTCGAAATAATAAGAATTTGGGATACAGTTTTGTCTGAGTTCATATTTTGCTGCTATAACAATATCTAACACTGAGTAATCTATAAGCAGTAGAAGTTTATTTGGCTCACAGTTCTGGAGGCTGGAAGTCCAAGATCAAGGGGCTGCATCTGGTGATGACCTTCTTGCTGAATCATAACATTGTGGAAGAGATCACATGGTGAGAGAGGGTGAGAATGCAGGAGATGGAAAAAGGGGGCTGAACTCCTGCAGTCACTAAATTACTCCTATGATAGTGGTGTTAGTCTATTCATGAGGGCCCTACCTCTTAAATATCATCACAATGGCAATTAAGTTTCAACATGAGCCTAGTTCCAGCTACTTGGGAAGCTGAGGCAGGAGGATTCATTGAGCTCAGGAGTTTGAATCCAGTCTGGGCAGCATATTGAGATGCCTCCTCTTAAAATAAAACAAAACAAAACAAAACACAAAACAAAACAAAACAAAAACAAACAAACAAACAAAAAACCCAGAAAACCAAACCCATGAATTTTGGAGGGAGCACTCAAACTATAGCCAACGCCTACTTACAAATAGGAAAAAGCGGCCAGGAGGACACATTTCTATAAATGTTGCTGTCTGCAAATGATACTACCAGATTTCTGTCTTGTCAGTTCAGGATGGCAGAGAAAGATTGGAGGCAGACTGAGTTGTGCAGAAGGTGAGAGAAGTTTTATTTTTTCCTTCTTCTGTAGCCCCAGGCTGAATAGGAGGTTTAGTGGTGTTCTAGCTCATTGCTGTTTACAGTCATATTTACTGTGTTGTATAGATGGACAGCCAATGGAACATTAGTCTGTGAATGAAGGATTCTGTGGTTAAATATAAATTAGGAAAATACTGCATACTATATTTCTACAGGAGAGTCTCAATGCATATTAGCAGATTTAAAACTCTTAGAAAATCTGCAGTCTATTTAATAAATGGTGCTGGGAAAATTGGCTAGCTATATGCAGAAAACAGAAACTGGACCCCTTCCTTACACCTTATACGAAAATTAATTCAAGATGAATTAAAGACTTAAATATAAAATCTGAAACCATAAAAACCCTAGAAGAAAACCTAGGCAATACCATTCAGAACATAGGCATGGGCAAAGACTTCCTGACTAAAACACCAAAAGCAATTGCAACAAAACCCAAAATTGATAAATGGGATCTAATCAAACTAAAGAGCTTCTGCACAGCAAAAGAAACTATCATCAGAGTGAACAGGCAACCTATAGAATGGGAGAAAATTTTTGTAATCTACCCATCTGACAAAGGTGGTATCCAGAATCTATAAGGGACTTAAAAAAAGTTTACAAGAATAAAAGAACCCCATCAAAAAGTGGGCAAAGGATATGAACAGACACTTCTCAAAAGAAGACATTTATGTGGCCAAGAAACATGAAAAAAAAGCTCATCATCACTGGTCATTAGAGAAATGCAAATCAAAACCACAATGAGATACCACCTAATGCCCGTTCGAATGGCGATTATTAAAAAGTCAGGAAACAACAGATGCTAGAGAGGCTGTGGAGAAATAGGAACACTTTTACACTATTTTGGGGAGTATAAATTAGTTCAGCCATTGTGGAAGACAGTGTGGTGATTCCTCAAGGATCTAGAACCAGAAATACTATTTGACCCAGCAATCCCATTACTGGGTATATACCCAAAGGATTATAAATCATTCTACTATAAAGGCACATGCACATGTATGTTTATTGCAGCATTATTTACAATAGCAAAGACTTGGAACCAACCCAAATCCTCATCAATGATAGTCTGGATAAAGAAAATGTGGCACATATACACCATGGAATACTCTACAGCCATAAAAAAGAATGAAGCTGGAAGCCGTCGTTCTCATCAGACTAACACAGGAACAGGAAGTCAAACATTGCATGTTGTCACTCATAAATGGAATTTGAACAATGAGAACACATGGACACAGGGAGGGGAACATCATACACTGGGGCCCATCGAGGGGTTGGAGCAAGGGGAGGGAGAGCATTAGGACAAATAGCTAATTCATGCAGGGCTTAAAACCTAGATGACAGGTTGATAGGTGTAGCAAACCACCATGGCACATGTATACCTGTGTAACAAACCTGAACGTTCTGCACGTGTATCCCAGAACTTAAAGTAATATAAAATAAAAAAAGAAAGTCTGCAATAAAGGAACATGTTTTTGACACTGTCACTTTATCATAAATAATAATATATAATATAATCTTGTTAGAAAATTTATTATATTTTATTAAATTATTATAATTTTGTCTATAAATAGATAATTTATTCAGAATAAACTACCCCAGAATCTCGGTGGTGGTTTGTTTCTCACTCATTGAAGCCCAGTGTAGGTCAATGGGTAGTTAGGAGAGGAGGGTTGAGCTCCATGCAGTCATTCAGGGACCCAGGCTCCATCCACAATGTGTGGCCATTATCTTTCTGGGCTTCAGAGTTCCACTGGATTGTTTGCATCCAGCTAGCAGGACAGGAAAATATGAAGAAGAGACACTTGGTCTTAGCCACCTTTGGAGGTGTTGCTTTCCACTTCCACTTCTGTTTCATTGGTGAGTGCCATTTTGTGGGCCAGCAATTTAGCTAGTTCACGTTGTTAAAAGTTTGACCTGGCCTCAGGTTTGATGAGTCATCCATTTCTTCTCACCAAACTATTGACTTGCTTCTGGAAAAGACGATTAACAAGATTCTTACCATCTTGAGAAACCATATTCAAATCTGGAACACTTGCTCCCACCCTGTCCTCTCCTCTTTATAGCATGTGGATTTTAGCTCTGGAAGGACTAATCTTGTTCTATAATAGATCCACGTCTTTTTATCTTCTCCAGAGGCTGAGGGGTTCTTCAGAGATATCTTAAAGAGTCAGCTTATAGCAAATGAAGTTGGAGGGAGTGGTTGAGAATGGCTCATCAGTCTGGGCTCTGGGCTTCTTATCTTGCCTCAACCAAGGCAGTCCAGCTTTGATCTGTATCATTAAAATAAAGGTTATATTACTAATGAAAAACCTGAAAACTGTGGTTATTAGCTAAATCAATCTTCTCTGCAGATGAAAAACTTGAGGCCCCAGGAAGTTAATCAATTGGCCTGATGTCACGCAGATGCTCTAGGAGGACCTGGCATTTACAGTTGGGTTTCCTCACTCTCAGATCCATGCTCTTTGCACTGGGGTAGCTGCCTACTACTTCTCTCCTTGTGTGTGGCATGTGATCTGAAGTCTAAGATAAAGTGGGGGAGTCAGGCTCTGCTGATGCCACTGAGGACCTACGCAGGCAGATTCACCTCCTGCTTTGGTCTCTTAATTCCTCTCTAGGTGAAGCAAGAACAAGTCTGTCTTCCCATCTAGGGCAGGGTTGCTCTGTGTGAGGTTGATGGTGCACCCTGCTGGGATCTTGGCACTTCTCAGGCATTTTATTAGCCCCTATTTACAGAGACACTGCCTGAATTCCTTCTGCCACTCATCCCACACCCCCTATGCTGGTGGTTAACAGTGTCATTTTAAAATCTCAAGCAGGAGGAGACAACATAATTGTCTCATTATATTTTAAACTTTTGGAATGTTGTTCTTTTTCAGAGTTGTGAAGACAGAGTGGATACAGGTCAGCTTGATTCTGTTTTTTTCCTCTATTAATGGCCTGCAAATATTAAATATGCAAAACATAGGCTGCTGTGTCCATATCTCCTTCCCCCTAGTTCTCGCCACATGATATTTGTTTCTGCTCAGGACTGAAAAGAAGTGATTGCTTTAGGTTTGCTTTTCTTTTACCAACTGGAGAAATACCTTACTGTGTCTTGTTTAAATATGGCTTGTCACCCAGTTCCAGCTTTTGGGGGTGGGGAGGAGCATGAATAATCTGTGTGTAGGCAGTTTTATTGCTCAGAAAAGAAGAAAACAGACCCCAGTGTTTGGAATGTCAATGATTTAGGAAGTTTCTACCAGGTCTGCTACTTGTTCCAATCACTACGTTTGATCCCAGAAAAGACTGACATGCGTTTTGGCCATCAAAGGGAGGGGTTTCTTGCAGGCCAAAGGAAGAGTCACTAGAAGTTGAGGGTGTTGTGTTATGCCCCTTTAGATTCCAAACTTCCCTTTGCTGCCTATCTGATGACCAGGTGAAAACCGGGATTACTCTGCATGAGAAGGTTCTGTGGGTTGGTGTTCATCAGGGAAAATGACCAGGACAGACTTCATTGGCCAAGGGTTTGCCCATGTTTTGAGAATTAAAACTTGTTTACTTGAGAGAGTCATTTGGTCAGCTGTTTATATTCCATTTTAAATTGTTTTTGTGCTCACTGTTTTGTTCTTTTGGTCTTTGACAGATGAGCAAAAATTATTTTTAATAACTTTAAAAAAGCTATCCCAGTGCTGACCAGGGAGGAAAAAGTGATCAAATTGTCTAATAAGGAAACACTATACATTTCAGTTTTTATTTGCTTAGTACTAATTCTATTTTCTCCTCCTACTTTTTTTTCTAAATGTTTAACAACAAAGTGGGAGATAATTTTTATTTTTTCCAAAATGCTTTCAGGGAAATCCCTTCTAAACCTATGGATTTTAGTCCAATGAGGAATCCTCTTCCTTTGGTCTAAATTTTGCATATCGTCTGTTTCTTACAGGGCTTCCGTATTGTCTCAGGCTCCACTGGAAATGCAGCAAGGATTCCTAGCACATCCCAGTTGCCATAGCAACAGCAGTCTTTCCCATAATGAGCTGCATCATCTGAACTGATGTCACAGCATCATGCAGCAGGTCAAACAAGGCATCTCCTAGTATTGCATCCTACAGATGTGCTGTAAACATCAAAAGAAGACGGTGGGATCAGGAGATGGTGAGTGTTAAATGTCTGGGCCTTAATTGCATGGCTGTTTTGTTGGTTAGTCGGCGTCTGCTAAGGCGGAGATTGGGGGATGTTGTCTCTGCTTAAAATGGACTGGGAAAAGAAGGGCTGTTTTACCTAAATCTGTTTTTCAGGCTGCCGGGTTAAGACAAAGGCCTGTAAGAGTCATACAGGAATTAAAATATGTAGAATTATTCTTGCTCCAGCTCTGTCTGTTATTTTTAAGTGTTCTTACAGAATTTTTCATAAACGTAAGATGATTTTCAATTGCAAAACCCCAAATAAGCTTTAAAATGAGTAGTTAACAGTATTTAAGCATTGTAAAAATATAGATTTCTTTTTGGGAGGCAGAGCTAATTGGCCCCCTCTTTGCTCTTGTGAAATATGAAATATTCAGTGATTTGCAGTATGAAATTCAGTATTTACCTCGGTTGGGTTTCAGTTTCTTCATGGCAAGGAACAAATGCTGAATAAGCATTTGACATAACCCTGATGTGAAAGGGGATCTCTTGCATATTCAAGACAGAATTTATTAAAAGCATAAAGACCTAACACAAATGAAATTATTTGAGCCTTTTGATCTATATGGTAGTTCTTCAACCCATGTCCTTCAGAGTTAGTTGAAAGACTGCCACATATTTTTCCATCTCTAGCTAGTCTCTGAAATAGCTGGAGTTGTTTGCAGACTGACTTGTAACTGAGAAAGGAACAAGTCTCCTCTCTGCGGCAGTTGCAGTGAAGGGTAACCTGGGGGAGAGCCTCTGAAGTGGCAGTGGTGTTGCCATCCCTTGCTTAACTTTAACAAAAATCTGGGTATGATGAATAAATATCAGGGTCCTCAGTGGTTGTAGGGAATACAGATCTCTGCACTCAGTCATAACCTCAACTCAATTCCAAAACTCTAAACATGTATCATTTTCATTTCAACTCCTAGCTCTGTTTTTAGGCATCTTCATTATTTTTTTTTTCTAAAAAATTAGTCTGACAGGGCCAGATAAGGAGCGGTGTGTTGCCTTTTGTTTTGGGAAATGAAATGGATTTCCCTGGTGCAGCTGATTGCTACTAGGGGAGAAAAAGGAGGAGGCACATGTCAGTTCAATTGATCAATATGTCCACTTAGAATCAGGGAGTGGTCTCGTGGCTTAATGCTGCCAAATTGATAGTTTTTACTCAAAAAGTCTTACACGAAAGAATGGCAACCATTGAATTCCTCTTCTTTTAGTCTGTTTATTGAGGCTAAAGAGATGTATTGTGGAAAGCAGGAAAAGCAATACTTTAGCTAGCTTTGAGTGATTTATTTATATTTACTTATTTATTTATTTTTGCACAGAATTGAGCATGTTAGTACCATTAGGCACCAGCCAGAGGAAAGGCCTCAGATTTTAATTTGTTTGTTTATACCACATCACGCATGCTTGCTACTCTCAGTCCTTTAAGCTTATGTTTCTGACATGCAGCTATATAGGATGGGAGAGGTCAGCTCAGCCTGGCTTTATCGCAAGCACTTAGGAGCATGAATTGTTCATTGCCTGCTTTTTTATGTCATATAATGTGAGCAGAAAGCTCTGCTGGGACTGCTGGGTGTGAATGCATCTAAGTCAAAAGCTCTAAGGTGACAGGGAAGAGTGCTAGATGGTAATGGGGGAAGGGAAAGTATGTCTCATAGCTAGATTATAAATCTGGAGAAAATCACTTAGTGCCTATTAGAATTCTCTTAAAGTGTTATTTCTGAAGAAGAGCAACCAAGAAAGACTTGTTTGGTAACATGAATTTCTAGGAGTAAGAAAAAGCAAAAGGCAGCATTTTAATGAGTTTTCTATTTGCTTAATTCTTGTCTCTTTTGTCTAAAGTGCTGTTCAGCTGCTTCATCGTGGTTGATTTGTTCAATTACTGGAAGTCACAAAAGCTAGATTCCTTAAGGGCAGTGTTAGAAAAAGTGGAGTCATGCTTTGAGGGTGGGGAAGGGCGCTGGTGGGTGTGGACTGACGCAGTTATCTAGTGGAACATCCTCCCAGTTCAGACAAGCCTGTAATTTTTCCCCCTACAAATGTTCAAAATGCAATTACAGTTCTCCAACTTTATGCTTTTGTGCTCTTTTTGCTCCAGGAGAACAAAGCCCTGGTAATGGGAGCTGTCATCCTAATGTTTTGTTTCTTCGTTTCTTTGCAGAGGGCCACAGCCTGTGCTGCTCTCTGATTAGCTGCATGTCTTAATTACTGGCTCAGTTTTAATATATCCCCAAGAGGTGGATGGTGTGTGTGTGTATATATATAGGGGAAGGAAGAGATTTCTCTATGGCTGCGTTTATTGGTGCCTCACTGAAACTTTCTACAATTTATGGAATTTTGTTTCACAGTAATGATAGATCATCAAGACCATGTTTATTGGACAAAGTTTAGGCCATGGAAGCCTCACAAGAAGTTAATGTCCTCTGTACTTTTGGTTATGGCTTTCATAAATAAATTACAAAGTTACAAAGAAGTTAATTATTTGCTGATAACTAGGCCACTTAGGGATGATAAAAATAATAATCATAATAACAATCATAGCTATTATTTATTCAGTTCTCACTGTATATCAGTACTGAATTAAGTTTTGTGTATATTATTATAATGAAGTAGAGAGTAATAATCTCACTTTATAGGATTAGGTGTTATTATTCACATTTTGCAAAAACCAGTCCTTAGCCAGGCAAATAAACTTAGCCAAGGTTATGTAGTTAATAAGTGATTCCAAATCATTGCACTCTGGCCATGCAGCACACATGCTTACCCATGGTCATCTCAGTTTTATGACATCTTTACTGTGTATACCATACAGATCAGTCATCTATACTCTATCACATGTACTCCACCCCTCCTCATTCTAATTGGAAAATCAGATTTCACATGTAGAATGAAATCTCATTTGCAATACTAAGATTGATTTCGCTGTAAGGAGGAGCATGAATCTTGATCAGATGTGAATATTTACTTTGTACCTAGAGATTTAAGTAACCAAGAGTTGATGCTTAGACCTTTGCCACTACCCTTGCTTGACATAACTTTCTAGCAGGATCTCTGTACGGAAAATGTTACATCAATAAGTGTGGGCATGATGGAGTTGCACTCAAAGCAGGTCTTACCTGAGTCAGTAATGATTCAACTTTGTTATATACCTGTCTTATCAGCTATATTTCTGGTGCTTTGTTAACTTTAAGATGTTTGTATTCCCTGGTGTTGCCAGGGAAGCAGAAACTTCTCTCACAGTCTGGAAAGTGTAACCTGAATCTATCTCTTAGGTTAAGAAGATAGAGGATTTATTTTGCTGAATGTATCAGTGGCTGAAACCAAACCCTGTCTATCTCTGACAAAGTACAAGAATGATAGTCTTGTGTAATATCCTGGAAGCCTTGTGTTTGAGGAGAGCTGATACAGTCATTTCTGTATCATCTTGCTTATCCCCAGCTATCCACGCCCAGCATCATTATTAGGCTCTAAGGGCTGTTCTTTGTTTGAATGTGGGGCTAATGCACACACTGACAGCATGTTGATATTGATTCCAGTATGGTGAATACTTAGAAATATTATTCCACAGGGCTTATTAGCCTTTTCTAGGTTCCAGGAAGAAGTTAACCTTTGTCCCAACCTGCTCCAAAGAGGCCCAAGCTTGTGTCTGCATGAGGTACAGGAATGAGAGGCTGATCAGAAAGCATCAAAGCTACTAGGTGCATTGACTACAGGAGTTAGGTTCCAATTAGGAAATAAAATAGCCAGTGGAATTTAAGGAAGTTGGTGGTCTTGCTACATGTCTCTGATTTTTTTTTCTATTTGTAATCCTAGAACACATGAAAGGCAATTTGTTTTGATCCCATGGATTCAATTCAATTCAATAAGTATTTATTGACTATCTCCTATATGCCAGGCATTGTCAGGGAATCTATAGCAATGAGCAAGACAGATGCAAATCTCTTCCCCCACTGCATTCTAGAGGGGAAGGGAAAAATGGGTAAATTTGTAAAATAATTTATTCCCTCTAATACTGCAATACTATTTCTATTTACTTTTTATCCCCTGTGCTATTAGAAAAGCCCATTATCTGTGCACATTTGTATAGGTACATATACATATATGGTTTATATGTGGAAGTAAACTTACTTCATTAAATAATAACTTTTCTTTTCTTGCTTGGGTTTGGATTAGAATCTTTCTGGATGTGGACAAGACAAATATGGCAATTAGCATTTTTTGGGAATAAGCTATTTTGAGAAATAAAATTATAATCAGTCAAATAGTGCATGTCTATGTCAGTTGACAAACTTGACATATGGAAATATGAAATGTGTATGGCAGATCAGTTAAGGAGAGATATTTTTATTTTTATAAAGATATTCATCACCTTTAAAAACTGTTTGTCCAGAGAGCCCTCTAAATTGAGCATTCCAGCCAGCCTGCTGGTGGAGGTATGTACCATACAAGGACAGGTATACCAGTTACCTTCAGCCTCATCTAATCACCCTAGTGTGCCTTACAGTATCGCTTTAAATGGGAAGCATTTCTCTAAACAATCAGATTGACTGAACTCTGTAGATGGCCCTTGAGTGTGGTTTTTCAGAGGAATAGCGATCCTTATAGGACTTTGGCTATGGCAACAGCGTTTTAGGTACAGTAGCCCCTCCTCCACCCTTATTTGTGATTTAGCCTTTTGTGGTTATGGTCATCCATGGTTTGAAAATATTCAGTGGAAGATTGCAGAAATAAACGTTAAATTTTAAATTATGTGCTGTTCTGCATAGTGCAATGAAATCTCACACCATTCTGTTCTGTCCTGCCTGGGATGTGAATCATCCCTTTGTCCAGTATTTCCATACTGTATATGCTACCAACTTGTTAAATCACTTCATAGCCGTCTTGGTTTTCAGATCAACTATCTCACTATCATAATGCTTATGTTCAAATAACCTTTATTTTACTTAATAATGACTCCACAGTTCAAGATTAGTGATGCCGGCA